TTAAATGTGAATGACCATTCTGGCTGATTTTATATGTAAAGGACTAAAAAAGTGTTTTTGGTAAATGTTAGGGACCAATTTGGCAAATTTCCCTATTAAATATTATATATATAATATTTTAATTTTTAAATAATTTTTATTTATAACGTCATCCGGTTCGACCCCTATCGACCCCCGGTCGAACCCATTGACCCCTGACCCCTGACCTCGGCCGAGTCGCTATCCGGTCCGGTTCTGAAAACATAGCTTTACGCGTGCTTGTTTGCTGCCAGGCAATGGTGGGCTTAGTCCCAATTTTGCTCCCCAAAATTTTCTGCCATATACTCATTTCGACTAGAGTTGCGGGCGGGTGGCATTTTGTCAATTTGTCATTTTCTGCCATATATTGTAAAGTATTATTTAAAATATTATTTGAAATAATTAATGTAATATTTTTTATGATTTGATATATGTGAGATAAAAAGGTGGTTGAAAATATAAAAAGATAGATTGCAAAAAATGTTTATGATGTAAGTGAAAATGTTATTTGAAAAAATTTGGTATCCAAACAAACCTAGTGGCATTTTGTCATGTTTGTTTTATATACTTTTTATTTTGTTTTTGTGTTTATAGAGTTTTAAAACATTTTCCTTTTTCTTTTTTCGTAATCATTGATAGTTGGTGTATTCATCAACTAAGGCTCCGTTTGATAACACTGAATCTGAATTCTGAATTCTGAATTCTGAATACTGAATACTGAAATAATTAATTTGCTGAATTTTAAGCACTGAAAAGAGATATATGAATGTCTGAATCTTAATGCTGAATCTATTTATACTGCTTGATAAATATTCATAACTTAATGCTTAATAAGCTAAATTGTACAATTTTGCCCTTCTATCTTTTAATTCAAAAAGGAAATAAAACTTATGATTTAATTAGTTTAAAATTGTTAGGTATGAAAAAGACAATATTTATTTTTAAATCAAATTAATATAAAAGAAGAAATATATTATGCAAAACATTAAAAGAAACATTACAATCCAATAATTCATATAACATATAAATTCGACCTAAAAAATTTAGAAATGATTGTTTGAATAGAGAATATCAAATTGTTTTGTTTAATTAGATAAGGATTTTGAATAGAGAATATTAGGTTGTTTAATTAGATAAGGATTTTGAATGTAATTAACAAACAGGGATAGATTTGGTAGATAAGATAAAGTAATTGAAGTAAATCTCTTGATTCTTATCAAATTAAGCATTCAGTTACGATTCTTGTGCTAAAAAATATATATACAAATTCAGCACCACTTAATAAGTTCAGCAGGTAAATTTTTATTTATCAAACACCCAAAACCTCTTAATATCTGAATGAATTCAGTTCAGTACTTTTTTATGTTATCAAACAGGCACTAAGCTGAATTTGAACTTTAGTTCACAGCCTAGTAAATGAAAAGGGTTGTTATTAGTTTTGATAGTTGATTTCCACATATGAGTTTATGTACTTTACCATCAATTTATGCGAACCCTATTTAAGTTTCAGCCACAAATCTCACAGTTTGTTATCTAGCTACTAGTATAAATACCCGTGCTACGCACAGTAGATTACATTTTTGAAAAAAATTACAATCTATAGAGGAATTTAAAAATAGTAAAATGTTATAATCACGGGCACATGAAAGTATATTTAAAAAAAATGAAACTTTGTAACAATAATTCAATATATGATAAAAACATCTCCATTATTTATAAACTATCACTTTGATGAAGGTTGGATCCTGCAAAAAATAGAAATCTATATCATAAATTGAGCAACATAAGGGTCTAATTAAATATAATTGAATATTTAATTTGATAAATAAATGAAATACTTACAAACATTTTGCCTTCGATTTGATAATCTTCTACGAAGGCGTGAACATTCTTCACACCAATCAACTCTAAGTACGAACGCCAATATTGGGGGTTTAATTAATTCTGTTGATTTTTGTGGAGTTCATACTATAAATGAGAATGCACGATTTTTGCATGAATTAATGTGTTGGTCGAACAATGCACCTCCATTTTCCTGACAATTAAAAGCATACATAATTCAAAATTATCTTTTGTTTTAGACAGTTTGTAAATAATATTGTATAAAAATATATACATATAAATAATGTATACCTTTGTTTTTAAATCTCTAAGATAAAAAGCATCACAACGAAACATGAATCGTGCATGCCTGTCTTGAAGAGCGAGGTATAGGTTACCACTGAAATCTCTAACTTCTATGTTAACATTGTATCTGTTAAGAAGAAATTGTGATGTATGATGTAAAAAATTATATTAAAATTCAAAATATATGAAAATAATTACCTGACAATAGTGTCAACTACGTCATTACAATGGATACACATCATTTTTGCAAAATGAGATTGACATTGTTGTCCACAATTTTTGCATAACTCATGGAACATATTGTCTATGTTGATACTTTGAATGTAAGCAAGTATCCGAAAATATTTAATCTAAAACAATCCAAAGAATGTATAGATTACAATTATTAATTCGAAACTACATGTAGATACTTGTTCATTAGTTAATTAATTGAGAGGAATTGTACCGTAGATATAACTGTATATTCAGATATTCATATTCTCTTAGCATTTGATATCAACAATGCTTGGGACATTATAAAACTGCATGACCGCAACCACGTCACTAATTTCTGAGCACATTTATCATTCTCAAACCTGCAAATTTTTCAAATATATATTCGCAAGAGTATGAAATATTATTAATAATTTAATATTTTGGTATTTGTAAAACTTACCAACTGTGTAGGTATTGAGCAAAATCCAAGTAATAATTGACATACAATTTGCTTGCTCGAATAGTATAAAGTGACGGTCTTGCACAATGTGCTATATTGATTGATAAACTATAAAAATTAAATAAAATAAAGTGAAAATAAATTGAATTACCTTTATGGGAATCAGTAGTGGCATGACGACCATCTGACACGCGTGGGCTAATAAGGATACCAACAGCAAGTGGAAAAAGATCTTGCTCAATCTTATAATGGAATTGGATTGGAAGAGGTTTAATTGTAGTGGGAAGATGTGTGAGGAGAGTTAGTTGGAATTAACTTCTTGTTTAAGGGAACGTGGGAGTGTTTAGTTGGAGTTAATTTCTTGTTTGGGGAAAACGTGGGGTGTAATGTGCCCATGATATTTTTTACGAAATAAATTAAATGTAAAATACTATAAAAATAGAGTTGAGAGTGGGAAGGATTGTAAAGGCTTGTTGCTAAAAATCCCTTCTCAAATTTATATAGATATAGATTCTTACTTTTCTAATAATAACTTGCGTAAATTCATAAATACTCAAAACAAGTTACTAGTGACATGATTTGAAGATAAAATTGCAAAAAAAAAAAAAAAATCTAGTTTTTGTGCTGCTCTAGCAAAAATATTAAAAGTAATCTATCCAACCCCTAAAATTTACCAACAATTCTTTAGGATGGATACAATGATTCTTTTTGTACCTTGAAGACACTTGGCAATCAATATTTGAGCTTAAAGGTAAACATTTTGCCTTAAATTAGTTAAATTGTCAAATGATCCAAAAGCATAATATTTGAGATACCTAATTTGACAATTAACCAAAATGCTTTGACAATTTTCAATCAAAGTGCTTGAATTTATGTATAATACATTATTTGAGTTTTTTAAAGGTTAAACTATTTTGGATTAAAATTATTATTTTTCTCATTGTAAAATAGGTTGCACACTACTGAGAGTTTTTATAAAGTAGTTAGAATATTTTATTTTTTAAAAATATTTTTCCAAACCAATTGGCACGAAAACCGTTGAAGTGCCTCTAAATTCAGTCAGTACTTAAAAATACCAAGTTAGCAAGTTCATACAAGTGAATACATTAATTTGGTCTGCCATTACAACTAATGAACCAAATTGGTTATGACTTTAAAGATAAATAAACAAATTGATCGCTTTCACTTGTTTTTTAACAGTTCAGAGTGATTCATGTGGGTGCTCTATTAATTCTCCTTAATATTTTGGCAAAAAATTTACATTTATCACTTTCGATGAAAATAAACGACTAGATTGATTAAAGTGATAATAGTTAAGGAACTACATTGGTTAAAACGAGTTTAATCTCATAATCAAGCCTAGCTACTATGTTGTAAGAACAACCTCTACTGTCCAACATGCCAAATTTCAGCATTGAGAGCCGCCTCTTACTCTTTGCTAATCAGATATTCCATGACAAATTTTACGAACTTGAAAACAAGTCATCCTAATGAATAGATACATATACTTACATACATTAACTCATTCTGATTAAGTATATGCTTTCTCAGAATTGTGGAGTAAATACCAAAACAAGAAAACAAGAATGCATCAAATGCGCTGCGGCTGCAATTTTGGCACTTGCACTTTGGTCACCCCGCCTGAAAGGCTTTTTGTTCTGTCGTTGCGATTACACCGGCATCAAATGTGCGGCATTAGCATTGAGAACCATCCAGCTATTAACTAATTTCAAGAACTACTAGTAATGGCAGGTGGAGATCCTCGTCTGTGTTTTATTCATCTATACTGTTTTCCATCGCAATTGACTCAATCTTTTACTTGTTATATAACTGAGAGGAAGTAGTGAAAGTATTTCTGTATTCACCTTCTTCTTTCTTTTAGCTATGGCAAATCTGTCTTACTGTCTTCCTCCAAATACACAGGTCCTTCCATTCATGAAATGTGCACTCAAGATTCAAGAAAAGACAGAGAAGAGCAGAGGTAGCACTAATGGTCCTTCCGTTCATGGAATGTGAACTTAAGAAAAGAAAATAGAGCAGATATAGCATTAGAACACAAGTCATGCTGAATTTAAGTTATGCACCTCAGCCAACTTGCTTCTTGAAAACTTGCGGTCAGGGGGGCACCAGCTACGGATGTTACTACTACTGAAACTCTTGCAGGCACCACTGACTGGTTTTGACTTCCAGAAATTTGTAAGCCTAACTTGCAGCCTCTTTAAAACCAATTACTTAAAAGCACGCTGGTGCTGACAAAGTGCTAAAAACCTTCATATGCTTCAAGTTAGTTCATCCCTAAACTATCTTCAAACAGCGCATATCAACTGAAAGGTTTATTCACGTGTTCGGAATATGGATGGAATAACAGAAACAGGATGAACACAAGTATTGTACGGTAGATACAAGAATTGTGAAGTAGATTTACCTATATTTGTTACAGCATTGTTTAGTTCAAACTATCTTGAAAGAGGACACTATGTCATTGTTTCTCTCCTAATCTGGAAGCTGATGATCTGCTCCTTCCACAAGTCTGCATCAAGATGCTTTTCAAAATATGTTATGTTCCCACTTGTACTCATAGCCAATGCGGAAGTACTTCTCGTACCATAACGTCCCTGTGCATAGAAAAATAAACTAATGATTCTTTGAGTGCATTGAGATACATATGATCTCACAGATGTTTATTACATAGAAAGATGTATTTCAAGGGGTCATTCATGTGAACACAAGCAGGAATGGACACAACGAGAGAGAGAGAGAGAGAGAGAGAGAGAGAGGGAGGGAGGGAGTACCGTAGGCATATCAGCATCAACAAATATGGAACTCAAATGGTATTCCCACTCTGGGGGATAAATCTGAGGTAATTTGCTTTCATCATCTTTAGTTGTGTCATTCATTAATTTTTCAGACATCTCTTTTAAGGGGATCTCTCCTCCATATTTATCCATCAGATCCTTAAAGCTTTGCTCCAATCTTTGAGCCTGCAGTGATATAATGTTATAGCCAAATAAACATGCAAAATAGAATGTTCTTTGATTGACAGACTACGGAAATGACAATGCACATGAAAATTGCAAACAACTACAACCAAAAGACTAAAAGTAGAACACAAAACGCACCGAGGAAATCTCCTTATTCCATTGCCTTTTTGCCTGAAATTTCTAAAACCATTCAAAATCTTTGTCTTTTCCCCGTCAATCTCTTTATTTCCAAATCTCTTTCGAAATAAAACATATATATAGTGATAGCAAAAAATTTGGTTCACAGAATACTTTGCAAGTGTTACATCTACTTTCCTTGGACAGGAACACACGTCAATACTTCGTTCCCAAACCAAGCTTATTTTATGTATTAGAGAATGCCCTTAAAGATATTACTGCTTCTGTGTTTTATCTTTTTTTGTGACCTCACTGAAGAAATCAGGGATAATCCAATTCGAAATTGGAAAAAAAACCCTTGTACTATTGGCTTGAGGTGGAGAAGAATTTGCTCCAGAAAAGTTATAAATTTGGTAAAGATGTATCTCCTTAACTTTGGGTAGGAGAAAATGAAGCAAGAGTAACAAGCATCTATCTGAGATCATACAAACTACCTTAGGCCACGGGCTGTCAAGCTTTGCATTAGACAAGACGTGAATACCAGGTGAAACTTGTGTAGCAATAATGCCGCTGCCTTTTGGTCGGTTGGTTATGTACAGCATGGACATTGAACAAAGATCAGCAACAATCAAGTTAAACCCATTATAGAGAGTTGCTTCTTCAACTAGTTCATCAGCAAATTCTTCAGGACTTTTCTTGCTCTACAATGAGAAAGAGAGAACATAAAGCAACCAGCAGCTGTGGCTGAGAAAGCAGGAACTCTTCTTAAATCAACAAAAATACAACAAAATTTCATCGGAAGGGGATGAATAAATGAGAATCAATGTTATTATGTAGAAAGAAAAGTGCTTTCTGTAAATAAACTACAACCGAAGAAATACAGGCAAAAAAGCAAACAGGTGGAAGTACAAAGAGAGGAGTTGCACAGGGAGATAAAAGGAAGACAATTGTTAGGAGTACCTGAAGGAATCGAAGGGGAAGATAACCCCGGCTCTTTGGCTGTTGATGCGGAGAGGATGGGTGGACGAGTTCCCGTACATTGGTGAGAAAGGCCAGCCGTCCATCCTTGGAACAACAGAGCCAAGTGCCACCAGCGACGGCATCTCTTCCACCAAGGATGTGGGGATCATCCTGCCACCAGCCCAGAGGGATGGTGGGGCGATTGTGATATTCGTCCCGATTGAGAAGCAGGAGGAATGGATAGAATGGGTGCACTTTCCAAATGAATATGGCGATACACATGGATCGATGGAAGTGACCCTTGACAAGAGAGATCAGCAACTATTCCGCTAGGTGCCCAGCTGCTGCTGTTGCCACCTGCCCGATTTTCATTCGTTAGTTTGTTTCAATTTGAATTTATGCATTTCCTCCGTCCAATTGTTAATGTTGTGTTTTCATTTTATTGATGCATTGAAATAAGTGTCACCGTTCCAAATTTAACAAATACTTTTCAATCTTACCATTTGAAAAACCAACCTTTAAGACCCCAATATATATTTAACAATGAAATATTTTAAATTTAATTAATACATATGTAAATTCATATTTGTTACACACTAATATGTTACATTTATATTACACAGGTTAGTTGGTGTAAATCTTACTACTAATTCTAAATATGATGATTGAGAATTTGAGAGAATCCATCATTGATTTGTTATGCTGGAATAGCATAACTCAGTTAGAAAACACTAGTTTTATGTCCTTGCCTACAAACATCTAGAAATTAATTTATATTTTAGAATAAAATAGAGATTTAGACACTTGAATTTATATCCCGTGTTTGTGTTATATAGTGATTTATGCATTTAAATTTAACTAATAGATAATCATTAGATAACGTCAATCAAATTTATTAAAAATGAAAACAATTCAATAAGCTTAGAAAATAGCACATCTTGAAGTATTAAAAACCCTCTATAATATCTCAACTGCTGAATAAGTATATAGATAAATAGTACTTCCATTACATACCAACAAACAAATCTCTATCCGTATCTAGTTTGAACATATTATTCTTTAATTTCATGATCCCCATCCCCATCACCATCACCATCTCCATCTGCTGCCTCTTGCCTTTTGGTTTGTAGTACATAACAATTGGAATACCACATACTCAAAAACACATTCTTCTCCTAATAAGTATATGTGCATATACTTGATTCTGAAGCTCCTTTGCCATAATAAACTGGAGAATAGAACAAAGAAGCTACACCTAGACTCTAAAAATTGCTCTTCATTCCCCACCACAACACAACACAAAATTTCAGAGGAGTAACCACTTCCATACTTGGTTATTCAAGGACACTACTACATCTTTGGGTAAGAATGGGTTGTGTTTCTTGCCTATTCAGTCTAAGTTTAAGGAAATTAAGAAGACCCACAGTGATCAATGTCTTCAAGGCTTCAACTGTCCGCTAAGTGGAAAATAGAGACCAAGAGACCACAAGATCAACCCACCAAGGACAATATCAAGAAGATCGAGAGTGACCAAGACCAACCTACCAAGGACATTAAGAAGAAACCAGCCCAACCTACCAAGAACATTAAGCATAGGCACCAAGGACATTAACAGGAGCAAAGTCACAAAAGGTCTCCCCCCCCCCCCCTCCCAACCCAAAAATAAACTGGACTTACATTGATTAATAACAACAAACTTATAAAGCGTGAAACACTGTATATTGGTAGTTACTGGTGACATGATTTGAAGATAAAATTGCAGAAGAGAACTATCTAGTTCTTGTGCTGCTCTAGTATAAAAATTAAAAGTAACTTATACAACTCCAGTTTATTAATCAATGAAAAAAAAATATTTGAGAATAGACACAATGATTCTTTTTGTTCCTTGAACACACCTAGCAATCACTATTTGAGCTTAAATATAAAGCATTTTGCCTGGAGGAAGTGATGGGTTAGGTGATTCCAGGGAGGAGTGTAAGTGACTAACACCAAAAAAAAAAAAAAAAAGGTAAAGCATTTTGCCTTAAAGTGGTTAAAATGTCATAAAAAGTACTGAATATCTAAAAGTGTAAAATAGGGGATGCCTAATATGACAATTAATCAACATCCTCCGATGATTTTCAAGCAAGGTGCTTGAATTTATGTTTAAAACTTTATTTGAGCTTTTTAAAGGTTAAATCATTTTGAATCAAAATTATTATTTTTCTCATTGTAAAACATATCGCACCATCATGGTGACTCTTAAAAAGTAGTTAGAATGTTTCATCATTTTTAATACTATTTTCAAACCAATTGTCACGAAAACAATTAAAGTGCCTCTAAATTGAGTTAGTACCTAAAATACCACGTTTGCAAGTTTCTATGAGGTAATACACTAAATTGGTTAGCCATTAAAACTAATGAACTAGATTCGTTATGACTTTAAAGTTAAAGAACCAAACTGGTCGCTTCCACTTGTTTTTTAACAATACAAGTGACTGCTCTATTAATTTGCCTTTTGATGAAAATTGGTCAAAAATTTTACATTTATCACTTTCGATAAAAATAAAGGACTAAATTGGTAGATAGTAATGGTTAAGGAATTACATTAGTTACTACCCAAAAGATAAAAAGGTCCAAAGTAATCATTTTTCCAAACTTTAAAAAAGTTTCTTAACCACCACTCACGCATGTTGTGCCCCATTTTCTAAAGAAAATTAAAAATAAAATGAAAAGCTTTTTTTTAAAAAATGAATTTCTTTTGGATTTTTTAAAAGCAAAATAGAAAAGAAAAATGAAAGAGGACGACCTACAATGGAATTGACAAATGTGACAGATTTGAGCTCACTAAAATCTAGAATAAAGGTTTTTTTAAAAAAAAAATTTGGAATCACCATCAACATTAAGTTTAGGTGGACTGAGTCACCTATAAAGTAATTTTTGACTTTTGAAATAAGAATCAAAACCCTTTAGTTAGACAATTCCAGATCTTTCAAATTTAAAAAAAAAAAAAAAAGAGTTTGAAAGCTACATTTCTAAGGTTAGTAGTTCAATGTTCTCAAACACCTCTCTACACCTTGTAAAACCGATTACCAGTTTAATCTCAATCGTCTGATTTTAAGGTCAAATGAGTTAATTTCAGCTAAACACGTAACATGTACTTAATTAACCTAAAATATCTAAACTAATAAAAATATGCATAACAGGTAAAAATAAAATATAACAAGCCGATTAATTCCAAAGCTTCCGTTGGAAAAAAAGTCATGAAATAACACTCTCTCACACGATCACATTCCACGATAATAATAAATATAATAAAAATTAAAGAAAGTAAAGAAAAATTAAAAATAAAAGTACAAGAATTACATACACCTAAGCCCCATACGAGTTGCATCACTTCTTAAAAAGAGAAATGAGAATTAATTACAACTGAACTTGAAAATTGAAATCCTAATTAAGCTAAACGCTAACTAGATAACGGCTAAGGACCTGATTGAAAATACCTAAAATCAAGTTCCGGCGTCATTACAAAGTCCTAAAATTTTGGTGATAAAATTACGAAGCAAGGGAAAACTGGGACTAAAGCTGAGAAATGAGAAAATTGTCATGTTCTCCAACGAACCAAGAACAACATGGCTGCCGCAGCTGGGCTACGTATTTCTTCAAAGGAAACTCACCAGAACCCGTCACTTCCGGCCAGCGTTGGACTGGCTGGAGTTGCCTCTCTCCCCCATCCCACACAATACACGCACAGAAGAATGAAGAAACAAAAAAAAATTCAACTACAAAAATCTCTCAATCCCTCTCTCCTTGCCGGCGAGCTCACAGTTCCAGCCAGCTTTCGACTAGCCGGAGATCGTCCCACATGCGCACAGATTCATCTATTCTTTTTCTTTGGCTCAAATTTTCGATGTGGAATTTTTACAAACACAAAAGGGGCCTAACAAAAATCAAGCTTTTCTCATATGATTGAAAAGTAATCAGGCCAGAAATTTTCAGGGTCGCATTAAATCCATACTCATTCAGACGACAATCATATTCCAACCAAAACCAATAGTTAAGAAAAGAAATTGAATCAAATGGAACACAAATAGCACACAATTTTCATGGGAACAACAGATAAGCAGAGAACAAAGTTTGAGAGACCTTTACAGTTTTTCGTTGGAGCTTTCAGAGGTGGCGGCGGATGGCTCCGGAAAAGATGACGGAAATTTCTTGATCCCCCGTTTCTCGATCTTTTTTGTTATTCCTGTTTTAGATAATGATTTCTGAAAAGGCAAAGCAAATGAAGGAAAGATTTTCGAGAAAAGTTTGGTAGTTGAAAATGCCTTCAGAAAACAAACTCCTACTCTCTGGTCCCCTCCTCTTTGTGCGATGACAAAACATGAGGAGCCTCGGGAGGTGTTATATATATAGTAATACTAGCTCGTGTGGGCCAAGTGGCAACTTGAGGTATGTGTCGAGAGGTGCTATGAAGTAATCGTAAACTGTTTGCGCTAGGCGGCAAAGGATAAGGAAGAAAAAAGCGGGGGCTGGATGTTTGATCGTCAAATTAATAATTTGTGAACGGTACAACGTCTTTGGAACATTTTGCAATTTTAAATGAATTATTTGTATATTATAATAGAGGTGTGATATATTATTGTTACTGCTTATGTAAACTCATGTATAATAATAACATCTATATTATAAAATTTTATAAATAATTCACAGAAAGTTACATTTCATTCAAAAAATATTATAAATAAGGAAGGAAAAACCTACTTCCACTTAAGAATTGAGAGAGGGGTTAAGCTTTCTCTCAATTGTCCTAGAGAGAATTTCTCTTCATTACACTATAATAAAACTAATTTAAATATTATTTTTATAAATTAACACCGTTCATAATATATTTAATTATTTGCGTAAAGTTGTACATTAAATTTCCTATAAATAGTCATAATAGTAATCTATGTGCGCTAGGCGGCAAAGGATAAGTAAGGAAAAAACTACTTGCCTCGTGAAGTGAAAGAGGTGTTAAGCTGTAATAGTACTAGTAATGTATGTGCACTAAGGAAAAAAACTATTCCCATTGGAAAGAATTGAGAGACTCCGTGTGCTCCAAGGATAAGGAAGGAAAAACCTACTTCTACTTAAGAATTGAGAGAGGGGTTAAGCTTCTCTCAATTGTCCTAGAGAGAATTTCTCTTCATTACACTATAATAAAATTAATTTAAATAAATTTTTTCAAAAATCAACACAGTTCATAATATATTGAATCACTTGTGTAAGTTATACATAAAATTTCATATAAAATTGACTAAATTTTGCCGTTTGATTACTCACTATATATTTTGTTACAATTTTGACTCATTTTTAACCATTCAGATGTTTGATATAAATTGAGTATCAAGATATTCTCAAAAGAATATCATTTTTTAGGATGTTAATCTAGAGAGTAAAAGGAAAATAATGACACAATCGAATGATTTTATAAAGTTATAAAAGTTTAAATATATTTAAATGCAGTGACCAATGGAGAGAAATTCAACCGAGAGCATCCTAACCCCCTTGGTGCTACACAAGACTAGTAGTAGTAATCTATGTTCATTGGGTGGCAAAGGATAAGAAAGTGGAGTGGGTTCTTTTGTGTAAGGGTGCAAGATGAAGTGAATTTTTTTGTCATTAATTGGAAAAGTTTGGAGTTTGATGGATTTTAAATGGGTGATTAAGGGTAGTGGTTACCAATGTTGTTAGACCTAGGCTGGACCAATTAGTTTTACCGGTCCAACCATGAACCAATCTTCTTCTCGAGTTAGTTTATAGTACAAAATCGTTTTGATTAAATATCAGCCAAAATTGTCAAAAATCGGTTAAATCAATAACCTGATTCAATTGGTTGACCCGATTCTCAAATTTTTCTTTCTTGTTTTTCTCAAATATAATTTGAGTTACCTAAATTGTAACACTTTCATTTATCAATAGGGATAAGGAAATGGCACCCACTTAATGTACCAAAATCACTCACGTTTTTGAATTATTTCTAAATCAAGATGTTTTTATCCTTATCATCTTAGTAATTTAGCATCAACGATTCCAACTTTATTAATTTGTTTTAATTTAGTTTTTCATGTAGTTTTTGAGAATAGACATATTTTAGCCATGAATTTGCCTTTTTATATATAATTATTAGGTGTATATTTAATTGCAAGTCTAATGTTTTTGGAACGTTTGGTATGATTGGTCGAATATAACTAAGAACTTAATTTCAATATTTTCAAAACTTATAAAAATATAAAATAATTATGACATCATGTTGATGTAAACGTATACATGTTCCATATGGTACATGATCAAAAATAATATAACATAACTAAGATCATATTTGAAAATTCAAAGAAGAACTTTAAATAGCATTTTAACAAAATTTGGTGCGCTTCTTAACTGTTGTCTAGATGTACTAAATTGTGACTAACAAAGCTATAAATTGCTGAAATTGTTGCCAATGATTAACATTGAGATGTCTACAAAACCACAAGAAGCATTTGTTGTAGGATAGTCATTGTATATTTTTACAAAATGAAACCACAACGTTACCAAATAGTGCTGGAAAATCCTGGAAAGGATAATATGCCATGGCGGTCGAGTGTCGTGTGTAGTAATTCTCTGTGCGTGCGTAAATGGCAAGTTGGTCGGGTGAACTTTGCCATTGACGTGAGCATATTTGTATGTTTATATGGAATTTCCGTGCAAAAAGAGAGGCGGCCAGGTTGGTCAAATAGGGCAAGGGATGGAAAATTTTAGGCAAAATTATCAATTTGGTCCGTAACATTTTTGGAAAAACTTTTTTAGTCTCTCACATAGTCACATTTTCGGAAAAAACTTTTGCAGTCCCTTAGATATAAAAATTTTGCCTGTTTGTTCCCAGAGCTCATTTTTTGATCAATTTTCCAGCCAAAAAACACACACTTACCTCATGTACCTATAATTGTCAAGGCAAAATGGAAATAAAATTCTTTCCCTTCACAAAAAAAAAAAAAAAAAAAAAAAAGAGAACGCATGACCATCCTTCCCCCATTTTCAGCCACTAAAAGGCTATTTCTAATTCTAGGTAACCAAACCCCAATTCCCAACAGTAAACTTCAGCAAGTGCACTTTCACCATAACCCATGAAGAAAAGGCATAGGGATCAGATTGAATAAGGGTAAAATGCTATTTCTAATTCTAAGTAACCAAACCTTAATTCCCAACAATAAGCTTCAGCAAGCGCACCTTAACAAAAAGTGATGAAGAAAAGGCACAGGGATTATATTAAAAAAGGGTAAAAACGATTGAGAAGCTCAGATCAATTACCACACATGATAAAATATTGTCTAAATAGTGTAATATCGTGATTTGTTGCATATATATTAATATTATAAGGCTATATATATTATTTGTGAAATTGCTGAAAATTTTTGTTGTGGGAAATTGGGGTTTGGTGGCTAAGAATTAGAAATAGAGTTTGGTGGAAGAAAATTGAGAGAAAGGGAAAGTCATCTGCTCTTTTCTGAAGGGAAACAAATTTTGTTCCGTTTTGCCTTTGAAATTATGGGAGTTAGGCATGTGTTTTTTGGCTAGAAAACTGAGCGAAAATGAGCTTTGGGATCAAACACGTAAAATTTTTTACATCTAAGAGATTATTTTAGCTAATTTTAAATGTGAGGAACTAAAAAGTATTTTCTAAAAATATGATGGACCAATTTGGCAATTTTTGGAATACCAAGGCATGCGCGGTGGTTAGTTCAAAACCAATGGGAGAACTCTATATGCACATATAGAGGTCCCACTTGACTCCATATGCACATGCAAGTAGACCTCACTTGGTATATCTATATCTATGTGTTTTGAATAATTTATTGATGGGTATTTCTTCCTTTTTTTTAATTTGCCTCTATGCTCTTAAGACAATTTGTCTACATATTATTAATGTTTATAATTTAACTACAATTTGAACTTTATTCAGTGATCTTCTATTCTAATACTAACACTAATACAAACACTAATCATCGGATTAATTGTTTGTTGTTTATGTAGTATGCAGTATTGATCACACGTGCGCACACATCTACTGGTACAAAGAGTGTCTCATACAAATTAATAAACAACTGCACAAAAGGTACCTCTCGAAAAAATGACCGTCCTTGTGCTTTCTATTTCTCAATGGTTGGAATAGGTTAAGAATTTTTGTCTCCAAGGGATCATACATGACTTGGATGGAATTTTGTAAAATTGAAGAAATCTCATTATGATGAAGTATTGACAGGTTGGAAAACTCTAGGTCCTCTCAAACATTGACAATTACTTATGTTCCTGCTAGAATATCACACCCCATTACTTTGATGTCTCAAGTTCATCCTCGAGGATTGTGAACAGTGAGTGCATGAAACCTTTATAGTTGGAATTGTAAAGACTCTTTATACACATAATAATATGTTTTCTTTTTGTCTTTTTTTTTTTTAAAGAAAAGTATTGTAATTGGAAAATCAAGGTCCAGTTGCTGACATTTTCATCGAAACGATTTTCAGGTTCCAAACACCTATGCGTGAGCTTCTTATACATATCTATGTTTTTCACCTTAATTTGCATTCATTTTTAATTTTTTATTGATTTGTTGGTTTTTTTGTGACCTTTTTTCATATTCTGTGTCGGGTTTTTCTGCCTTTTTTTTTGTTTTGGTTAATCGTGTTATGTTACTTGAAAATGATGAGGCAGTAAAAATCAAATTTTCCTATCTGAATTCGATATTTTTTTTAATACGTGAATTCAAAAGAATTATTTCTTTTTTGTTGTGACAATTTTAGGCCCCATTTTGCCATACAAACAGAATGATTTCTTCTGGATGACTTGGAGACAGCATTAAGGTTGTATCGTTAGTAGCACAAACAAAATTCAACTGTTTACCCCAGAAAATGTTTCAATATTTGAATGATTGCTTAGTGGTCACGTTAGCCCTATAATGAAAAATTAGAAAGAAATGCTGCCAAGTACAAAAATAAGGGAAAAATTTCCCATGGGGGAGGGATGGGTTGGATGATACCCCGGGGGTGTAAGCAAGAGATCTCAAGTTCGAATCTTCCTGCTTACACTAAAAAAAAAAAGGAAAAAATTCCCCATGATGGGCTCAAACTTGAAGAAAGAAAACACATTTATTTCAATAAAACAAAAGATGTTGAAGACCATATTTTGAGAGTTATAATGGCCTTACATTTATATGGATATATTCTGAATAGTGAATTATAAATGAGTCTTAATATTTTCAAAGCAAAAGCTAGAAGATGTAAAATGTTGAACAATAAAGGGCTGGAATTTTAAAGCAAGCCTATGAAATTAAAAGCAGTTCGATAACTACTGTTTCAGAATGATGG